ACTTTTAATAATAAAATACAATAAACAATATGTGTACTATATTTATATTTTATTATTTTATATATCACAGTATGTTAAAATATGATCCATAATGAATAAATGAAAAGAGTAATGGATGCCCTTTACAAAAACTGGTAATTTACGTTTTTACATGTATATTTGCTTTTAAATACTATAAAGCCACTATTTTTATATTTTTATAATAATCATCTGAAATATTTACGTGTCGTTTTTTTTAAGTTGATATAGTTTTTCTAAACATTTGGCTGAGCCAAATTTGTTTGTGTTTTCAGGCGTAGCACATATTTCAGCTTAACTTTTCTGATGTAAAACTGGATGGAGTCTCATGTCTTGGTGGCAAGCTTAGTTTTTTTTTTCCAGGAGGTCTCCCATTCAGGTACTGACAAGGCTCACAAATGTTTAGTTTTAAGGGGTCGCCAGTTTTGAGTTTTTTTTAAATATTTTATTTATCAAAAAGCAATAAAATATTTAGTTGTAAGTTGCAGGGTGATATGGCTGCTGGTTAATGACCATCTAGAGCATTTCCTGCATCACTTCACCAACTTCCACCCATCCCTCCAGTATACAGTTAACATATCTTCCACTGCTCTTACGTTTCTGGACATTAACCCATCCATTAATCACCCACAACTCTCTAATTCTAATACAAATCCACAAATGCACACAGCTAGCTCCTGTACAGCTCCTTTCACCCCACACATACTAAAAAGTTTCTGTTTTTCACAGTTCCTCAGGTTCTGATGACTTTGCAGTAACAACATGGACATCTATAACCAAGCTTTCATAATGCATTGTTTTTTAATTAAAAGAGGATTGTTAAGAGGAACAATGCCCATGTTATTTACAGGCCATTCTTCTGAGCCAAACATAACCCTCGGATCAATCAAATTAGGAACTCCTGGAACTATATTCCATTGGTGCTGCCCTACCACCCTAACACCCTTTCTATTCTCAGGACCATTAATGTCAACTTTCCCATCTGAACAAGTAAAAGTTTATTCCATTGTGTTTCTTTTCTTCTCTTTTCAGCATGGAATAAACCGTTACTTGTTTCTTTGCAGCCTACACATGCTGATGCAGCTACTCACTTGTATTTTCCCATTTTACAAGATGATCCCTCTACTGGTCCCCTCTTTTCTGACGACCACATAATCTCATATCGCCGACCACCTAATCTGTGCAACCTTCTTGTTCGCAGCTTCCTTGACTGCCCACAGCAATGATCCAAACCAATTAAATGTGTTTTGCGTTTACAAAATTAAAGTGTTTTAAATGTTTAGTTAAAAAGTAACCAAAAAACTTACAGTTTACAGATGTAGCCATTCAAAATGCACGGTAAGCTAGTCGAAGAAGTGGGCGACTCAAACATTGGAGCCCAGTGGGTACAGCAGCAGCAGCAACAATAATAGCGTGTATTCTTATAATTATAGTCAAGAATAACAAAACAAAATTTAAAAGACAGCTGAAATTAAAAAAGAAGCATTTTGAAACTATTAGCTGGAATTAATAAACTAATATGGTTAATAATTATCAGATACATTATTATAATTCAGAGTCATTTGTTTTCTCCGGTTTTCATAACCTTCACTTATTAAAAGGCCTATTTATGAGACCACGATTTTTCGGATGTCAATAACTTTGTGAAAAATGACACAGAGTCTTCAAACCACAGGCATTTAAAAGATATTGATTTGTGAAAATCTTCACAGCTTTTATTTAAACAATATCCAGTACCTGGCTGCATTTTTAGAAGCCTTTTTTTTAATGATGTAAACCCATTTTTTATGGCTTTTAAAGTCATGCAATTTCTAATTTAGGATGGGATACGTTATTTCTATTTTTTTATTTTCCTTAAAAAATAAAAGAATCAGTTGCCTACTGTGCCACACAATATTATGTTACATTTTTTATATTTCTTAAAATCTTCAGAATGCTTTGACTGATGCATAAAAATTACTGATCCATAATGTGTTATCGCGTAATGAACTCACTTACACCAGGGATTCGCTTTATTCAAACTAAGGTTTCTAAAAATGCAACCAGGTACTAGATACTGTTTAAATAAAAGCTGTGAAAAATGTTTGCAAATTGCGTTCTTTAAAATCCCTGTGATTTGAAGTCTCTGTGTCATTTTTTGCAAAGTTATTGACAACTGAAACATCGTATCTCGTAAATAGGCATTTTAAAAAGAAAGCGAAGGTTATGCAAACCGGAGAAAACAAATGACTCTTAAAAAGATACAAGAAGTTTGAAATTATTATTTATTATTAATAAATTAATACTGTTAATAACTGTTAATAAAGATCAGATACATAATTATAATATCAGTGGTCTTTTTAATACTACTTTGTTATTCTCAATTATAATTATAATATATACAACAATATATTTGTTGTAAAGACATGTTAAATTGCCCTACTGGGATGAATAAAATATTTTAAATTGAAATGAATTAAACTGGTTGAACTGGTTTTGTGCTCATTTACATTTTTATTTCATTATTAATATAGTTAAACATTGAGTAAGTTGTGATATATATAAACAATAAATAATATAGTATGCATTATATTTATTACTTTGTTGGAAAAAAATGTTGTGCCTTAAGCAGGAATTGAATTAGGATATATGAGATGGAGACCTTGCCATAAAACCCATTGCACCAACTAGTCCCTCAGAATCACACTTGAAACAAACAG